GCCTCCGGTCTGGTCCCGGTCTCGGTCCCGGTCTCAGTCCCGGGTCTCGGTCCCGGTCTCCGGTCCCCGGTCTCAGGTCCGGTCTCAGTCCCGGTCTTCAGTCCCGGTCTCAGTCCCGGTCTCAGTCTTCCAGTCTCTGGTCCCGGTCTCAGTCCTGGTCTCAGTCCCGCTCTGATCCCGGTCTCAGTCTCAGTCTCAGTCCCGGTCTCAGTCCAGCTCTGGTCCCGGTCTCAGTCCCTCAGTCTGATCCCAGTCTCAGTCCCGGTCTCAGTCTCGGTCTCAGTCCTGGTCTCAGTCTCGGTCCCGGTCTCAGTGCTGCTTTGGTCCCGGTCTCAGTCCCGGTCTGGTCCCAGTCTCAGTCCTGCTCTGGTTCCGGTCTGGTCCAGTTTTTTTTTTTTTATATTTATATAATACTTTAGCAGCCATTGTCCCCTGCAAGTGTGTCAGATGATGTAACTCACTCACTCTTAACTCTTTTTCAGTCCAAGTCAAACGTAAATTCAGTGGGAAAAAATCTCACGAGATAATTTTTCTCACGTTTGCACGAGATCTTGTCCATCCCGATTATTATTGATGTTTTTAAGATATTCTCTGTCTCCTTATAAGAGGCTGTATCGAAAATGTGTGTTGCTCCTGTACATTTATTGTAAAAGCAGCTCTCTGGGGTTAAAATGAGAAGCTGTGTGTAAATACATACAGAGTGGTGTTCTGTTAGCATGCTAGTTGTTGATTGCATTACTGTGAAGGCAAAACTCTGCTCCGGTTTGTGAAAGTTGTGAAAAGCGCTCAGAAACTTATCACGGTGAATAATTAGGATGCGACAGTAATGCGTTTGGAAAATGAGGCATAAACTAACTTTTTACGGTGTTAAAAATGTGAAAAACAAACATCATTTAATTTCTCAACGGTTTCAGGTCCAAAATGTACGACTTACTCACCTCGCGCGAACTAAGTATCCTAATTACTCACCGTGATAAGTTTATAAACACTTTTCACAACTTTCAGAGACCAGAGCGGAGTTTTGTCATCAGAGTAGAGTTTACAGCAACTAACATCCTAACCATGCACTTCCTGAATATCGTGGTCTGGTCGGTAGTGGGTGGTAAGAGGAGAGGGCACACGTCTTTACTGATCTGGGTGCTAGAAGTCGGTGGTAAGGGACACGTATGTTGGTAATTTGGGTCGTGGTGGTGGTAGTGGGTGGTAGAAGGGCACATACCAGGGTGATCTGGGTGGTAGTGGGTGGTAGAAGGGCACATATGTGGGTGATCTGGGTGGTAGAAGGGCACATATGTGGGCGATCTGGGTGGTAGAAGGGCACATATGTGGGTGATCTGGGTGGTAGTGGGTGGTAGAAGGGCACATAAGTGGGCGATCTGGGTGGTAAAAGGGCACATACCAGGGTGATCTGGGTGGTAGAAGGGCACATATTTGGGGATCTGGGTGGTAGTGGGTGGTAGAAGGGCACATATGTGGGTGATCTGGGTGGTAGAGGGCACATATGGGGTGATCTGGGTGGTAGGGGTGGAGGCACATATGTGGGTGATCTGGGTGGTAGAAGGGCACATATGTGGGTGATCTGGGTGGTAGAAGGGCACATATGTGGGTGATCTGGGTGGTAGAAGGGCACATATGTGGGTGATCTGGGTGGTAGAGGGGCACATATGTGGGTGATCTGGGTGGTAGTGGGTGGTAGAGGGGCACATATTTGGGTGATCTGGGTGGTAGTGGGTGGTAGAAGGGGCACATATGGGGATCTGGGTGGTAGAGGGCACATACGAGGGTGATCTGGGTGGTAGTGGGTGGTAGGAGGGCACATATGTGGGTGATCTGGGTAGAAGGGCACATATGTGGGTGGATCTGGGTGGTAGAGAGGGCACATATGTGGGTGATCTGGGTGGTAGAAGGGCACATATGTGGGTGATCTGGGTGGTAGAAGGGCACATATGTGGGGTGATCTGGGTGGTATGAAGGGCACATAAGTGGGTGATCTGGGTGGTAGAAGGGCACATATGTGGGTGATCTGGGTGGTAGAAGGGCACATATGGGGTGATCTGGGTGGTCCTCTGTGCCTTTTATTTATTTTTTATGTATTTTATTGGCTTTATTTAGTTATTTATTGCTATTCTATGATTTCACTCTTATTTTATTTGACTGGTTTTATTATTTTAAGGCTGGTATAGTTAAATCTGAGTGTTTATTTTATCATTTTATTATTTATTCTGTTGTTATTATGTGTTTGTGCAGCACTTTGGAAGCTGTTTGTGCTATAGAAATAAAGTGGATTGGATTGGATTAGTCGTGTAAGTAAGTTTTTATTTATAGAGCACTTTTCACAGACATTTGTCACAACAACACTTTACAGATCATTATTCATCCACTCCGGACCCGGTGATGGTAAACTACTACTGAAGCTGAAGCGAGGCTGCCAATCTGTGCCATCGGTCCCTCTGCCCACGACCGTCACTCACACACACTCCACTTTCATACAAGGCAATGTGGGTGAAGTGTCTTGCCTAAGGACACAATGATTTTCCCAGTGTCTCCCGTCCAAGTCCTGACCTGCTGAGCTTCTGAGATGTGACGGGATCAGGCTTTGACGAGCCACAACCGCAGTGGTGGGTGGTAGAGTGGCAGCAGCGGGGGTGATCTGAGGTGGCGGTGGGTGATCAGTAAAAAAAACAACTGATCTTACAGCGGTCCAATGTCTTTCTGGACGGGATGGAACTCAACCTCGTCAAAGAGTTTAAATACTTGGGACTGACGCTGGACCCGACACTGACATTTAAAGGTTGTATAGAGGATTTTCCAAGGAACGAGAAATCCAGCGACTGTTTGTCCTTTTTCAAATGTTGCGCATGCGTGAAACCACCCCCCCTCCCCTACAGCTCCTACGTAGAAACGCCTCCTCCCTCCTCCTCCTTACGCCAGAAACAGGTTTGTTTACAGCCGGTGCTGCACATGACTTGTAAACAACTAACTACAGTGTTGGTTAGGCAAGACGGAGAAGTGAGGAGCAGGGAGAAGAATGGAGCGGTGCGCGGAGATTCTGTGCGAATGAACTAGCTACAACACGCAGCAGCAAGCGGACTCTTTCTTTGCCTTGAAAATGACGTTTTCAGACATAGGATATCTCATTCGTGTCCTGAAAAACGTTTGTCTAACTCTTGGAAATAAAGTACGTTTTCATAATAAGCAGAAGTTTCCTGTCCAGGAGTAATTTGTGGACCAGTGCGTCAGTCTTTAGACCCTGCGTCTGCTTCAGTCGCGCCATCGCTGGAATGAATCTCCAAGAATCACCTTAGTTTGGCTTCGCTGCTTTTCCCCTTGTCTTCTTCTTTCAGCGACCTCAAAAACGGACTTTCTTTTGCGGCAAACTGCTCCTGGATTCTTGTCGCCATTGCAACAAACTTTGTGCGAACTGCGAGGAAGATATAGGTCAAAAAAAGCCGCTAAGAACTGTTGCGTTGGTGGAGTAAACAGCGTCTGTGCGTCTTGCGTCTGTGGACTGTGTGACAGTCGTACGTAAACCACGTACCGGCGGCGCAGGCAAGTCAGTTACACTAGAAACGTAGGGAGTTTGATTGACAGCCTGTCAGCTCACAGATAACGAGGCAGTGTCGTTATCTATTGGCAAATGTTTAGCCCCACCACGTCCAGAGTTGATGAATTTTTATTCTCTTTTTTTTGGTCATCATAATTACAAGGCGACTGCACCTCTATAATCTATCATTGACAATTTGAAACAAAAATAAATCCTCCATACAACCTTTAAGAAACACATGAAGCGCCTCACAAAAACTGTTATTTTTAACTTCATGAATTTTAGACAAGTAAGATCCTTCATGACGCTATATGCGGCACGAATGTTTTTACACTCCATGATTCTGTCTCATATAAAGTGTTGCAGAACCACGTGGTCACTTGCTCCTGGCACAAAACTCAAATCCATCGAATCACTTTAAAAAGCTGTAAAAATACTGGACAAGAAACCACTCTCATCTCACCACTGCACTATTTTAGATAAGTACAACCTGCTTCATTTTAATAATTTTGTTGATTTTAAATATGGATGTTTTATCTTTAAAGTTTCGCATGGACTTGCCCCCCCTCTGTTACAGGATTTTATTAAAGTAAAGACTGTCAGTGGGAACTAGAGCCACAGCCCGGGGGATCAGTGAGCCCCACACAGACGCACCACATTCGGACAAAGTGTGTCTCAGTCAGAGGCTCTAAGTTCTGGAACATTCTCCCATGATCAATAAGAGAAACTCCAACACTGGACACTTTCACATCCCACTTGAAACAGCGGCTAAAGGAAAACCAGACTTGTGGACACTTTTAGTTTAGAACTGTCACTTGTTTTTGTTGTTTTTTTTATTTGTTAAATTTGTGGTGTTACCTGCCTACGGACCACAGATGGAAATGAGCATCCTGGCTATAATCTGTCATATTTAAACTTCAGTGTTGTAGATGTCCCTATTAAATAAATTCATAAATAAATAAATCTGGGTGGTAGTGGGTGGTAGAGGGTGGTAGGGGGACATACCTTGGTGATCTGGGTGGTAAGTGGTAAGCAAAAGCACTTCTACTTTTAAATAACGTTTCGCCAAAAAAAGCCCTCGTCAAATACTTTTCTTGCCTTGGACCACAGCACAAGTGTGTACTTTTTCACTTTTGTCTTGCTGCTCCTTGCACTGGCACCTCTGCTGGAATTTTGGTGTGCATTTTCTGTTTCTTTTCATGGTAGGAGGCACATACCTTGGTGATCTGGGTGGTACTGGGTGGTTTTGGGCACATACCTTGGTGATCTGGGTGGTACTGGGTGGTGGGTACTGGGTGATAGAGGGTGGTACTGGGTGGTTTTGGGCACATACCTTGGTGATCTGGGTGGTACTGGGTGGTTTTGGGCACATACCTTGGTGATCTGGGTGGTACTGGGTGGTTTTGGGCACATACCTTGGTGATCTGGGTGGTACTGGGTGGTTTTGGGCACATACCTTGGTGATCTGGGTGGTGGTGGTGGTGCTGATGGTCTCTGATGTGATGGTCTGAGCGCTCAGTAGAACTCCAGTGTCCTTCTCCGGCAGGTTGTCCCCAGGCTGAAACATTTCAAACAAAACATGCAACATTGAGCGCCTCCACTCAATTTCATTTCTCTCCAGCGACTAGATCAGGAATCAGAATACACTAGACGGTTTACAAGAACTTCGGAAGTTGTAGACGGCGCACCGGCCAATCAGCTGTGAGTTGTGAAGTCATGACGTCAAACTCGTGGCGTCTGTCTGTGTCCCTTTTGTGGAACAGCTCAACAGGAAACAAAGCGTCGAGATGGATGTAGATTAGGGATGGGCATGATTAATCGATAATTGATCATTAAGAATTTCATCGATTACATTCATTTTAATCGACAAACCGAATGTATGTTGCTGTGTGTATCGTGACCAAACAGGTGTGTACATGTGTCTCTGCATCAGAAGGAGCGAGACACAAACAGTGGGTCAGTCTGTAACGAACCGAAGCACAAATGTGGATTTAACGATGATTTGTACAAGAAATTCCACACTTTCCGTTGCGTTCGGGACAAGTGTGAGTCCATGTGCACAGTGTATAAAGCAGCACATATGTTTCTGTGTCCAGTGGGAAAAAGTTTTTCCAGGTGAGAGTCGCTCAATGTGGATGACGAGGCCCCGCCCCCTCCCCCCGTACGCTGTCCTGGTTTTGACAAACGCAAATCTGTCACACTAACCTGTATTCACCTGAGTCATGTCTTTTAATCCAACAGAAGTTGAACCACATCAGCGACACAAGAGCTGGAGTTTTATCTTCACTGAGTTTATGCAAATTAGTGATGCGGTTTTAAGTTTTGTTTCTGTGAGAGTTGAACAAAACTGAATTAAACACATTATAATGTCAAACGGGCTGATGTGGCTCTAGAGTCGTTACGGTTTATATGTCGTAAAGTTGAATTTATTTACGCAGATTAGTAGTGCAGATAGTAATAATAATGATGATCATTTTAATATAAAAACGTTAATGATTAATCGATAATCGATCGTTAATTCTTCCGACGATCGATTAAGAAAATTTCATCGAATGCCCGTCCCTAATGTAGATGAAGACAGACATTCTGTGTTGGCAACAATTTTCAAGGATTTAAAGCCAGAACAAAGAGAATGTTTGGTGAATTTTATCAAGGGGAACAACGTTATTGTCCTTCTTCCTACAGGATTTGGCGCATTAGATACAAACAGCAGCGATTGGTTAAATAAAAAAAAAGTACCCTAATGCTGTGAGGTCAGACCGTCTGATGAATCTGGTGACTGGAACTGAACCACAGAGCGTGAAAAACCTCCGTCCGAACTTGAGACGATCCAACCACAGCTGCTCATTTGTAAAATGTGTCTCTCAAATGCGGAAGAACAAAAATATAAACTCTTTTACGTGAGATAAATCACAGTTTGGTGCTTCGACTGACAACTGAGCAGCTCATCATTATAATACATCTGATAATAATAATTGGATGTTTTAATATGTTGTTTTTGGTGAGTGTATAATTTTCAAAACAATAAAAGGTAAATATCTAAATGTGATGTGTTTTCTTAATCCCCCACAGAAGTGTAAGTGTAATGTTCCCTCTTTGAGTTTCTCGTGAGCCTCGCGCCGTCGGAGAGTGTCCCGTCAGCACAATGTAAAACAGAGCGCGGCCTCGCTAGAGTCTGATTTAGCGCGTGAACCCTCACTCACTCTGACTCCGTATTGACGCAGGGATCACATCTATTAAACCCTCACAAGATTCATTTAGGCAGTAATTACTTACACCAGACACTGTGCTTGGCCGGGGGATCGTTTCCATATGCAAAGCTCATCTCGCAAAATTGATAACACTGTCACGATAATAAGAGACGTACTTTTAGTGTCTCAAAGTCAATACAGATTCATGCGGGAAAAAAACAGATCAGTCAAACGCCTCCGACCTTAATCCTTCAAACTACAACTCTGAGGTAATAATGAGGAAATATCATAACGTGACTGAAAGTGAAACCAAAAATAGTCATGTTCTCTTCTTTTAACATTATAACTTTGGTTCTGGGCGGTAAACAGGAGAAGTATTTATGCTGTTGACACGTTTATGTTCAGCCAAGGATCTATAATAAGAAACCAAACTAAAATGCCAGAGAGCTACTACCGTATTTTTCGGACTAAATGTCACACTTTTTTTTTGTGGTTTGGGTGTTTCCTGCGACTTATATATTAAAATTTTCAGAGTGACAGTTACGAGAGGCTCTAGACTCGTGTGTCAGTATCTAGTACGACTTTTACTCCTGTACCACTGTCACTTCGCTCTACTGCGCATGTCTCCTGTAGAAAAAGCCGCTGTCCTGCTGCAAATAGTGAAATATTCAGCTGAAAACTGTAATCGAGCAGCAGAGAGAAAGTTTGGAGTGAGCGAGAAACTTGTGAGGGACTGGGGGAAAGGCGGGGATGGAGAACACAGCTTCACGAGAACCGGGAGGATGCGCCATGAAACTTTCCTGGAGTCACTGGATGGATGGACAAAGTCTGAACTTCAATGACAACGAAACCATCCTGTCGGGATTCAGAAAGGCCGGAATAAATCTAACTGGAACTGATGCTGAGTCTGACGACAGCGACACAGAAGAGGAAGCGATGCTCTGTTTACATCATGGATCTATGGTTTATGTCCTGAGGTCGCGCAGAAGTGACACCGAGGATGAAGAATTGAATGGATTTAGTGACTTAGGGTGAGATCGTGAGTTTGTTAAACTTGTTCTGTTCTATTGTTTATGTTATAGTTTATCTGAAGAACTGTTCATATGTTACATTAACATATTGACGCCTGTTCAGTCTGTTGTTCTCTGTTCTATTGTTTTTACTAGAACTTGACTTTCAAGATGAAATGTCGGTTCCTGGTCTCTGATTTTACAAAATACATTTCCCCAAAAATGCGACTTATAGACCGTATTTTCCCCACTATTAGGTGCTCTGGATTATAAGGCGTCATTAAATGGTCTATTTTCGAACTTTTTTCTCAAATAAACCACGTGGGAAGCTGGAACAGTCTTCCTGAACATGTGAGACAGACTCGACTTTGACGCTGTTTAAATCCAGGCTCAAAACTTTTCTGTTTAACTGTGCATATGACTGAAAGGTTTTCATTCCGCACTCTTCTCTCTAATTTATGTCTCTCTTTTTTAATTTTAATCTTTATGATTATTTATGTTTTGATTTGTTTTTATTATGATTTTAATGTATTTCTTATTCTGTAAAGCACTTTGAATTACTTTGTGTACGAATTGTGCTGTACAAATAAACTTGCCTTGCATTAAATGAAACCCAACAGTGTGATGGGTGAGTGGTTTTGTTTGTTTGTTCGTTCACGGTGACTCTGGGCTTTGTTCAGTTGTGGCGTGTAGGGAGGTGCTGTCTGGGACCAACGGATTGTCGGCGTGTTCGCAGTGACTCAGTTGTTCAGTCGTGTCTAGAAGCGGCACGTCGCGCTCGCTGCTTTTTCGTTCGTTCCTCGTCGGCGAGTGATGAGTGTGTCTGTGGGTGTTTCTCTGTGCGGTCGCTGTCTGCTCCGTGTGTTTGCGGCTTTGTAGTTTACTGAAGTCGTACTGGGACACCCGAGTGGATTCGTGTATGGGGCGCTCTGGATTGTGGCGCATCGTTTTTATGCGGTTAGAGGCTTAAGAGCGCGTCTAATAGCCCGGAAAATACAGTATTTTTTTCTTTTCATTACGCATTTTCTGGCTGGTGCGACTTATACTCCGGAAAATACGGTAGTCATAGTAAATTGAGTGAATATAAGAGCCACGGCGAGCCTTAGATGAAGTGCAGTTTGATGCCATTTATTAAAGTACAAAGTTGGACATTAAAATTAAACACGTACAGTGGTGACAGAACAGTGGTTATAGGCATTTAATTCATCAAATTTTACTTATTCAATTGCACAATAAGCGTAATTCAGAAATCCCTTGGCGAGCTGCAGGTTGAAGACCCCTGAGCTAAAACGTTAAACACATTTCCTAACGTCTTATCTGTAAAAAGAACCAAAGCTGTTGGTCTAAAGAAGCGGCGTTAGAACAGGATTTAAGAGCCCGTGTCTGGCCCCACCTGAGCGGACTCGTAGGTGATGGTCTTGGTCTCGGTGTGGACCAGAGGCATCTCCTTGTAGGCCACGGTTCCTCGCAGAGAGTTGGTGACGTCGGAGATGGTGATTGTCTGGGTCTTCAGCACCGGAGACTGAAAAAAGAAAAGAGAAAAAAAAACAGAGATGAGCTGTTAGAGAAGAAACCAAGTCTGAACTGTGGGTCTCACAATAAGACACAATTAAACCAGGACTAAACCAGGACTAAACAAGGTCTAAACCGGGACTAAGATAAGACTATGACATTTTATTATTATGACAGGTCTAAACCATCTAAACCAGACCTAAATCAGGACTAAACCCGGACTAACCCAGAGCACATCAGGACTAAACCAGACCCACATTAGGACTAAACCAGACCCACATCAGGACTAAACCAGACCCACATCAGGACTAAACCAGACCCACATCAGGACTAAACCAGGACTAAACCAGACCCACATCAGGACTAAACCAGACCCACATCAGGACTAAACCAGGACTAAACCAGACCCACATCAGGACTAAACCAGGACTAAACCACATCAGGACTAAACCAGGACTAAACCAGACCCACATCAGGACTAAACCAGACTACCCCACATCAGGACTAAACCAGACCCACATCAGGACTAAACCAGACCCACATCAGGACTAAACCAGGACTAAACCAGACCCACATCAGGACTAAACCAGACCCACATCAGGACTAAACCAGACCCACATCAGGACTAAACCAGGACTAAACCAGACCCACTATCAGGACTAAACCAGACCCACATCAGGACTAAACCAGGACTAAACTCCAGACCCACATCAGGACTAAACCAGACCCACATTAGGACTAAACCAGGACTAAACCAGACCCACATCAGGACTAAACCAGGACTAATCCAGACCCACATCAGGACTAAACCAGGACTAAACCAGACCCACATCAGGACTAAACCAGGACTAAACTAGACCCACATCAGGACTAAACCAGGACTAAACCAGACCCACATCAGGACTAAACCAGACCACATCAGGACTAAACCAGACCCACATCAGGACTAAACCAGACCCACATCAGGACTAAACCAGGACTAATCCAGACCCACATCAGGACTAATCCAGACCCACATCAGGACTAAACCAGGACTAAACTAGACCCACATCAGGACTAAACCAGACCCACATCAGGACTAAACCAGACCCACATCAGGACTAAACCAGACCCACATCAGGACTAAACCAGGACTAAACCAGACCCGGATCCCTCAGACGGCGCAGTCCTTTCCTGTCGTCTGATCGCGTCCCATTTCTTTATGATATTCCGTTTTATGATGTGCATATTTCACGACGGCGGAACAGGCTGTTTTAACGACGCTCTCGGTTCACATGCAATTAGTCAAGCGTCGGGTTTGAGATCGATCGGACCGAAGCCGTGATTTAAGGAAAACTAATGCCAGATCCAGAATTAAACAGCCCCGAGTCGGATTTACAGCCAAGACGGAGGCGCCGTAAAGCAGCGCGGATAAAAACATAACTTCAAATCAATACGGCCCGTCATACACCGCACACTGCATCGGTAACCGCGACATGCCGTTCAGATCGCGCCGTTTATTAAAGCCGCTGTGCCGAGAAATGTTTCGTTTTAGGAGTTTCGCGGTGCTCCAAAGTTATTCCTCACTTACCTTAGGCTTTCAGAGCTTCCTAATTATTCACCGTGATGAGTTTCTAAGCGTTTTTCGTAGCTTTCAGAGACTTTCAGAGCTTAGTTTTGCTGTCTGGGGAAAGCATGCTAACGTGCACTTCCTGATTATCGGACAACGAACAGCGCAGTACACAGAGGACTACAGCGGCTTATATAAAACATCTGTAAAAAAGCAAGACTAGGGATGTAACGATATCCAAATCTCTGTTCGATATTTTCACGATATACATCTCACGATACGATATTTATTGCGATATTTTGTGGAGGATAAACAGATAAAACTGTGAATATGCGACTTTTTTCTCTTAAAATGCCTTGACAAGATTTAATCCAAAAGAATTAAGACTTAAAAGTGTTGGAACTGTTATTTCTTCTTGTCGTCTGCACTGAAATGGAGCAAAGGATCATGAATCTGTGTATCGTTTGTTTATTCGTTTTTCAATATAAAATCAAAAGTAAGAAAAAGAAAAAACAACAGTTTTTTTCATTATTTGTCTCCAAAACCAAAATGAAAAAACAGATAATGATTCGATTTTTCAGTTTTTCGATTTTGTGTTTAAATGAAGAATGGAAAAAAAAACGACATGACTTAAACTGTGATGTCGGACTTTTGTACCGCGTACGGACTGAACCAGGACTGAACCAGGACTAAACCAGGACTGAACCAGGACTGAACCAGGACTAAACCAGGACTGAACCAGGACTGAACCAGGACTGAACCAGGACTGAACCAGGACTGAACCAGGACTGAACCAGGACTGAACCAGGACTAAACCAGGACTGAAACCAGGACTGAACAGGACTGAACCAGGACTGAACCAGGAACCAGGACTGAACCAGTCCGGACTTGAAGCCAGTCCCAGTTTTTCAGTCCTGGTCTGGTTCCAGTCGGGTCCAAGTCTCAGTCCCGGTCCCGGTCTCAGTCCCGGTCTCAGTCCCGTCCCGGTCTCAGTCCCGGTCCTCAGTCAGTCCCGGTCTCAGTCCAGTCTGGTCCCGGTCTCAGTCCCGGTCTCAGTCCCGGTCTCCAGTCCCGGTCTCAGTCCCGGTCTCAGTCCCTCTCAGTCCTGTCCCAGTCCTGGTTCAGTCAGTCCGGCATCACAGTTTAAGTCACAGAAACGAGAAAGTCTGTTATCTGTTTTTTCCATTTTTCATTTAAACACAAAATCGAAAACTAAAAAAAAACGAATCGTTATCATTTTTCTCATTTTGGTTTTGGAGACAAATAATGAAGAAAACTGTTGTTTTTTCTTTTTCTTAATTTTGGTTTTATTTTGAAAAACGAATAAACGAATGACACACGGATTATCATGGTCTGTGTAGTTCCCTCTGTTTTTTTTAGGTTTTTGCTGCACCAAACTCTTCATTTAAACAAACTTGTAATTCGATATATTGTGATGGTCCATGATGTTATTGTGAGAACTTTGACGATACGATATCACAATATTTCGGTTATTGTTACATCTCTAGGCAAGACACATTATGCCATGCTGTGGAGCGGTGACATGCTGCTATTCCGACATGCCACGATTTAAACATTAACGTCTAATTGTCGGAGCAGCGGCATAAACATTATTTTCAAGCGTCCCACTACTTCGACTTTTTTTGTTTTCCATTGTCGGAGTAGTGGCACTTCACTACTTTTTAAACATTCAATTTTTCCGACATGAATAATATTAATGTGACAGTGTATTATACTACATAACTATTTGCGGAGAATACTATACATGACGTGTCGGAATAGTGATACTAAAAAGTGTTGGAAAACCGGCACATTGGTCCGTGTACATTCGTTATTTTGAATTTCAACTAAGGCGAAAAGCAATAAAACAGGAAAACAGTGTGTTATTTCATGATTCCGTTTTAGTGTCAAACAAAAAAAACAGTTTCGACCTCTATTTCCAATATTTAATTTACCGTATTTTCCGCACTATTAGGCGCTCTGGATTATAAGACGCACTGTCATTAAATGGTCTATTTTCGAACTTTTTTAAACAAACAAATAAACCGCGTGGGACTTTAAATGAAACCCAACAGTGTGATGGGTGAGTGGTTTTGTTTGTTTGTTCGTTCACGGTGACTCTGGGCTTTGTTCAGTTGTGGCGTGTAGGGAGGGTGTGTCTGGGACCAACGGATTGTCGGCGTGTTCGCAGTGACTCAGTTGTTCAGTCGTGTCTAGAAGCGGCACGTCGCGCTCGATTTTTCGGTTCGTTCCTCCGTTCCGTTCCTCGTCGGCGTGGAGTGATGAGTGTGTCTGTGGGTGTGTTTCTCTGTGCGGTCGCTGTCTGCTCCGTGTGTGTTTGCGGCTTTGTAGTTTACTGAAGTCGTACTGGGACACTCGAGTGGATTCGCGTATGGGGCGCTCTGGATTGTGGCGTGCGGTCGTTTTTTTGATGCGGTTAGTGGCTTAAGAGCGCGTCTAATTGCCTGGAAAATACGGTACTTTGTAGATAAAGTAAATTCTCACATTGGCTCTGGCGTAGAAATATCTTTAACCCATTGATGCGTATTATTTCCCCATTGAAAAATAATCCAAATGTTTCCCGCACATGTTCCCATCAAGACCTGGTTTGAAGTAACAAACGTTGCTCTTCACTATCAGCGCATGAACCACTTGATCTGGTCGCTGTTCCAGACGCTCCTATAACAGGTGACATATCACAATGCGTATACATGCGTTATGATGACCCGCTGATGAAAAACTAAAATTACATGAACCGGGTTACTGTAGCTCCTAAACTCTATACGCACAGAACACAACTTACCATCACATTAGCCACCTGAAAACTGTCTGTCACAGAAATAACGACACATAACTCCACAGCACGTCGTTCATTTCAGTCCAAAAAAGAAACTGATCACATCAGCGGCACAAGGAGCGAGTTGTTTTTATCGCCGCTAACAGTTTATGCTAATTAGCCAAACGGTCTTAAGTTTCGTTTCTGTAAAACGTAAACAAATGTGATCAGAGCTGAATTATCTGATCAAACAGGCTGATGTGTCTATAGTGTTTATGGTTTATATGTTGTAAAGTTGAGTTTATTTATGCAGAAGATTTTAATGAAGAATCTGCACAGTGGATTGTGGGAGATCTCGTAGCTCCTTAGCATCTTATGCTAAAGGAGCTCACGGTTTGTATTTTTCCTGGTTTATGAAATAGATTTAAGTTAATTTTTGCGCCTGCGCATTTGTAAGATTATGTCAAGAAACCAGGATACTCCATTTGATCATGTACACGTGGATATGAGTGTCCCGGTTTCTCAGTGCGCATGTAAACGCAGTAACACGAATACTGACAGAACCGGGATATGGCTAATAACCGGGTTATTGATGTGCATGTAAACACACTCACTGTCGTGTAACAAATAAACATGGTCAAACACAAAAATGCTGACAGTGTCAATGACAGTGAAGACACGGACA